AAAATAATCTTTTCAGTTCATTTATATTGTCGTAACAATGATACAAACATTTAAATATCAAATAATTAATCAACCAATTATATGAGGAAATTTCTTTTTATAATGTTTTCTATTTAAGTAATACTATTCCATTAAAATGTTTTCATATTTCAGATTTTCTCTGTTTCACTTTTTTTTAAGTATTTTTGCGCACAAATAATTGAATGTTTCCCAATTGGACAATAAAACTGATAATAATATTATGAGCATTTTTTTTTCTTGTTTCATTCATTTATTTCACTAAATTTGAAATTTCTCGAGAAGTGAAACAGTGAGCAAATTTTGTTAATTAATAATTTTATTAATTAACAAGTTAATTAATTTGTTAAATAATAGAACTCCATCATTTTGTAAATAATTAATCGATTAAACAGAAAAAAGTGCATATAAATATATCGGAAATTAATTTTGTTTAAATTAATCTCTTGTATATATGCATATATATTTATGTGTATGCGCGAAAGAATATTTGAAAGTTTTTTTTATTTTTGTAATATTAAAGTTTTCAATTTAATTAAGTTACTCCACTTACTGCTTCACGTAGTTGACCTTTGACATATTTGTCAGCTTCAGTGAAATTTACATGTTGTCCCAGGAACACGTGGTATATAAATAATATTCCTGAAGATAAAAAAAAAAAAAAAAAAAACCAGTAAATGGATTAAACTCAATTAATAAATCTCTATCAGTAATCATTACTATTATTACCTATAAACATGCTTCTAATTGTTTTTCCTAATTAATTAGAAAATCTAAAGAAAAACCAATTTAAAGAATCGAATTTATTAGAAAAATTGTGTTATTTCTCTCATTTTTTCATTATTCCGGATCTTTCCGGATCCATTAAGTATTATTAGAAAATATTAGTAATGTTTAAAGTTAAATGATTTTGATGAATTGTTATAATTAATAAAGTGGGGATAAAACCGGAAAGAAATAATTTCATTCAGGAAATACTTTGTTCTAAGAGAGATAATCTCTTTCGAAATTTTGCTAAATTTTATTTTACTTTTTTTTTGTTGTTTTTTGTTTTTTTTTTTGGTAGAAAGAACAACAAACTCTTCGCAATCACAAAAGCAATTAAAGGTCCATGTAAATGGTGGCCGGAAAATCAGTCGATAAACCATTACCGAACCTCCCATTCCTGAAAATTTTTATTGAAAAAGAAAACAATCAAATGATTAAGTCCTTCTATTTTAAATTTATGTTTATTTTATTACTTTTGGATTGAAATTAAATTCAAAATTTTTAAAATTTTTTTTACAAAAAATTTTGAAATAATTTTGAAATTTAACCAACATTTGATAATTTTCATAATTATTTTTTAAAGTATAAAAAACTCACTTTGTATTGATGGCTGAGTACTTGTAATATTTCTATCTGGTTGCTGTTGTTGAAAAGGACATTGCCAAAGATACGGTAATGGATACGTTGGTAATAAATTGTACGGTTGATATGATCCAATTTGTGTACATTGTTGAAAGTAATTTAAGGAAGAAGGTTGAATAATAGATTGCGGATCCCCTATGCACAAAGCATATGGTATCACATAACTTACGGTATTCATTAATAAAATCTGAATTAGGAACCGGAATATTTGTGACTTTTCCTTTGAAACAACCGGTTTCACTGATACTATTATATCTGTTTTGGAATGCATATTATTTACCGGAAGTGTTAAATGTTTATCTAAAATATATTCTGAAAATTTTAAAATTAATTTTAATTTCAATTAATTTTAAAATTCGAAATTGATTCCAACTGATAAAAGTTGCCTATAAGATTATGGATGGAAAAATCCGATAAAATTTATTGTAAGTAAGCAAAATCCATATTTATCATAAATCCGGTTTTCAGCTTTTCAGTTCCGGAATACGTAAAATTGATTCACTAAGAATATTTTGTAGGATCAAAATTTGATTTTTCTTTTTTTTCTTTTACTCAGTTTTAGGATATTTAAGGATTTAGGGCAAATTTTGAAAGTTTTTTATCAGGATTAAATTCATGAGATGAAAGTTTGCTATCAAATTTATGGTCAAAGAGTTTTATCTGATAGAAAGATTAATGATTTGATAAATAGCTGGCATAGAATTGAAGAGAGTCTAATTTGGGTCATTTGGGAAAAATGATATCCGGTCATTTGGGAAAAATGATGTCATTTGGGAAAAATGATAACCGGAAAATGGAACTGGAAAAGATGAGGGAGTATTGATAATAAACAACCAAACTTTTTCATGAAGCATATAAGAAAGTTTTATTTAAAATAATACTTCGAGAGTTCAATATTAATCAAAAATGATTTCTTGCCGGATTGAAATGTTACATCTTTTGTTCCATTAAAAACCGTAAAAAAAAAGTAGAACCAGTTTAAAAGATAAATTTATTTAGAATCGGAATTTCGTGAATGAGAAAAATTCGGATATATGCATTCGGAAACATTTTTTTCCGGTCAAAATGCTATCCAAATAAAAGTACTTTTTTTTGAAGTTTAACTTTTATTATACAAAATTTCCTAATCATGCAATTTAGGCTTACCAGGAAAAACCAGGAAATTTTATAAACTTCCCAGGAAATTTTCGTAAAAAAAAGGCCGGAATTGCTCATTCAGAATTCCGATTTTAAATAAATTTATTACAAACTATTTCTACTACTTCACAATTTTCATGTAATAGTAGATAAGTATCACTTCATTATTAATTAACAAATTTAACTTTCTACCAAATAAATTAACCGAAAATTATAATAATCAGCTAGGATGATTAAATCGATCACGCTGTTTACGTCAAAAAAAAAAACGGAAAAAAAGACGTAAAAAGCATTATACGTAATACAAATGAGAAATTTTATTGTTTAATTAATTATGAAAAATAAAAGATGTTCTTAAAATTCAGCAAAAGTTACACAGAAAATTGAAACATAAGGAAGATTCTGATTCCAATTCATAAAATTCACCGGAACATATTGCTATCATTCAAATGGTACACTAATGTAAACTTAAAATTTAAGGAACATTTTTGTTTCTAACTTATAAAATTTATCAGATCGTATCGATATCATTTGAATGTGAAATTTCAATAATAAAATATGAAAGCTTGAAAGAAACTTAAATAGCATTTTGATTCTGATTTTATAAATTTGGCAATATAAGAAAAAGTGATAGAAATTTTATAAATTAAATTTTATAAAATTTTACAAAATTCATTGGATTATATCGATAACAAATTGAATGATAAAATATAAAAATGAGATAAGTGTACATATCGAATTTATACAAACATATGAAAAATAGGAAATTAAATGAATTGATCATAAGGAAGTAATTATTGAATGTATTATTGTTGTAACTTTTTTTTCCCAAAATTGAATTTTGAAGCAATATGATTAAATTTTTATTAAATATTACAAAAAAGAAAAAAAAACTATTGACAATCATTCTATTGTAATTTTATGAAATAAAAATTTTTCTTTAATTGTATTTATTTAATTTTACAAAATTTTATGGCAAAAGAAAAAAAAATCGCAACAAACTTTTTACATTGTACAATGCTTTTTCTAATGATTTTGATTTGCTATAGAAGGTAAAAATATTAAATTTCATTTTCAAATTTTAATATTTACAGTTTAAAATAATTGCTAAACAATCACATTTACACGTTTACGCTTATATTGACGCCTGATTTTATTCTTTTGCTGTTATCATTGGTTTATCAGTTAACCATTTCAACTAATAGTAATAATCATTGAATTTTCATGAAATATTTAAGTTTGTTTTTGTTCTTTTAATTTTATCATTGTTATCAGTCAATTAATAATAATAATAATCATTGAAAAGCTTCAAATAGCAGTAATAAACATTGAATTTTCATCAGACATTTACATGTGTTTTTGTTTTTTTTTTTTACTTTTACCACTCTTATCAGTCAATCAGTTCGATCAGTAGTAATGATTATTGAATTTTCATCAGATATTTGCGTGTGTTTTTGTTTTTCTTTTGCCTTTATCACTCTTATCAGCCAATCACTTCAACTAATAGTAATAATCATTGATTTTTTTTTCCCATAAGATACGATTATCAAAACAACTTTCTTACACATTTCCTATAATCATGCTTTTTTTTTAAGTTATAGTGAATTTTCATCACACAAATTGTTCATCAATCAACTTTAGGTCTAATTAATTAAAAAAAAAAAGATAAAATATATCATCAACTAAATGAATATTGATATCATTCGATTAATCCTAGTAATATTTACTCAGGTAAATTTATCCAAAATATCATTTAACATATATTCAACAAATGATAATACTTTTATCAACCTTATCAGTCAGTAACTTCTACCAATAGTAGCACTACTAGTAATGTACATATTAGTTTGGATATAATAAATAATTACAAAATGCATCACTCCTGTCAAAGTAATTGGTAATTAATTAATTACCGTATTTTCTTCCTCACTTTCGTTCACTTCAAAAAAAAAACTATTTGAAATCATTTAAAACTTAATCGAATTCCTTCAAAATAATTAAATTATTTATTGAAATTTACAGAGTAATTAATGTGCTTGATTACAAAATACCTTTGGAAACTTATTATTATCATTGTTTGGTTAGACTTCCTTCCTAAATACTTTCCTTCTTTCCTTCCTTCCTTCCCTTCTTCCTTCCTTCCTTCCTTCCTTCCTCCTCCCTTTCCTTCTTTCCTGCCTTCCTTCCTTCTTTCCTTCCTTCCTTCGTTTCTCCTTTCTTTTTCTTCCTCCCTGTCTCACTCATTAACCTAATTTTTTCAAAAATAATTGACAAAATCAAAATTTTAATTGGTAAATCATTCTAAAATAGGTCAAATTTTTGATTGAAAAAATATTAGAATGCAAAAATTTGAAATACTTTACAGGATTAAGCAAATACAAATTAGCACAAATCAGAAATTATATTAAAATATTGAAAATTATCATTTAATACAAAATGCTACAGACTTTTATCCAGAATTTTTCGTTTTGATTCTAATTTGGCATTGTTAATTTCATCGCCAACAATTAATTATTGAATTCTCTCAAAGCACTTTTTAAACTTGAATTGAGGATTTTTAAGTTTCAAATTTGAATTTAATCAGTTCTGAAGCGATTTTT